CGCGGGAGCCGCGGCGGGCAGCGTGAGCGGCGGAGACTCCGCTGCGGCGGGAGGACCAGCCCGGCCCGCCGGGCTCCCAGGAAACCAGGCCCGCCCCCGGCCGCCCATTGGCGCGGTTGCCGACGCCCGACTTCTCATTGGTCGGTCTCTGATGTCACTGAGTCCAATCCCTCTTTTACGAGAGGCGGGGGAGACACCTGTTCTGTGAGGGACAACTTGTTAAAGGGTCAGCGGTTCTGCCTCTTCCCCCGAGAAGGAAAGCAACCAGGCTGCAGCTAAAGGGGAAAACGATGAGAAGGAGTGCACACTGCATCACACGCCCACGTCCTCTACCCAGTTGCTGTGCACATATACAAACACACATACATTAAAATCAGTAAGTACATACACCATGTGTTGAGTAACGCGCCGAAAGCTGTGGGAATACAAGAGAAGAGAAATAATTCCAGGGGGTGAAAGGTGGGGGATGACAATAAAGTCAGAGAGACAAAAGTAATCTATACATAACAGCTGGAGAATATTTGAGTAGCTGCAATCTTGTTTAATTACTATATATTTTAGATGCTTATTTAAAAAACTCTGTAACCCAACAGTGGAAATTTGGAAACATCACCAGCAATCCTGCTGTCCTAATTCATTACTGTTTCAATCTCCACCTCACTATTTTAGTCTTGGTCTACACGCAGACACCATTTTTAACATGCTGATCCAAGGCTCGCAGGTTGAGCGCAGTATCGGTGCTGGACACTGTGCTGCCTACCGTAAGTAACACAAACACGAGTGCTGTAGACTGGATGTTTGTATCGCTTCCCCCACCTCCTAAATTCATATGTTGAAATCCTAACTCTCAAGATGATGGTATTAGGAGATGGGGCCTTTAAGAGGTCTTTGGTCATGAGAACGGAGTCTAACTCCTTCTGCTATGTGAGGACTCAGGGAAAAAGACAGGGACCAGGAAGTGTGCTCACCAGACACTGAATATGTTGGTGCCTTGATCTTGGACTTCCCAGACTCCAGAACTGTGAGAAATGTATTTCTGTTGTTTATAAGCTAATCAGTTTATGCTATTTTTGTTCTAGCAGCCTGAACAAACTAAGACAATGGTTTCAACCTCTTCAGATGCGTGACCTTGGCAAACTGCTTAATCTCCTTGAGCCACATTTTCTTTAATGTTGGATAGGGAGGGTCCTGGCCTAACAACGGTGATGTGAGGATTAAGTGAGATATTGCATGCAAATCACAGCACAGGCTGGAAGAAAGAAGTGTTCACTAAATGCAGCATTTTGTTTGAACTGAATTTAGAATCCATTGGGGAAATACGATAACGCACAAATAACTAGAACACAGTTGGTGAAGAGTTAGTAAAGATATCATGGCAAGTGAAATTAGGGGAGTATAAGATTTACAATAGCAGAGATGGAGGAAAGGTAATCCAGGTGACAAAAGGTGAGCCAGAGCCTGGAGGTACAAAAGCACACTGTGCGTTCAAAGATAAGCAGACTGATTTGGCTGGAGCATAGGATTTGCTTAGTATAGCAGTGGTAGGTAATGCTGACTTATGTCAATACATGCTGAATTGAGTTAAAATTGTGAAAGGACTTGAATATCATATTGGGGAGTTAGTGTTTAATTGATTTGGGAATAAGAGTTTGGAAGAAGGAAATAATGTAAGACCTTTTTTTCAGTTAGAGTGGGAAAGAGACTGCAGAGAGGAAGGTTTGTTACAAGATCACTGTTAACAGTCTAGATAATCAGAAATTAGGATCTGCTTTAGGGGTAATGAACATAACTGATGAGAAAGGATGGAAGTGAAGGGAAGATAAAATCTCTAAGTCTAGGCTATGGTGCGTATGTGGTGCATATGTGGTGGGGGCAGGTTAGTGGTGACAGAAGCACCAGAGTTGGAGGTCAAAGAAGTGAGCCAAGGCCAGGTTACTGGGAAACTGGCCATTAACAGGTTAAGGTGACCACTTGGAAATCAGTTTTATATGAAGGGAGTGGGGTGGACAGAAGCTATTTTTACAAGAGGTTAAGAAGTAAATGGGTAAGCAAAGGGTGGATACTCATTTTCAGAGGTCCGAGGGGTGAGGATTGAGAAGAAGATGAGATCAGGCGTCACTGGGATGGCCACAATGTTCATTATGTGGAAGTCAAGGATGGTACCTGATGAGCCGTGCAGCTGTAGAACAAACTATGAGGAAACTCTCCAGTGTACTGAGTTGGAACAGTCTGCAATCTCTAAGTTATTATGTGAAAAAAGCAAAATGAGGAACAATGTATAAAATATATTACATTCTTGTTTTTAAAAAAAGAGGGACAAAAAAAGAAATGACATTTGTATTTGCTCACATCTACCCAAATAAACTGTAGAAAGATACAAAACATATTAAGATGGGAGGTTACATACTGGAGTGGGGGTTTTGTATTTTAATTATTATTAATATATAACATACCTATAAAATATATCATTCTTTTTTATTTAGGTGCTCCTCTTTCTACCTTTTGCATATGTTCTTTTAAAATCTGAGATCAATACAAAACTATCCATCCAGAAGAATCACAATTTTGTTAAATAAAAAGAATTGTATTTAAAATTTGTAGAAGGACTTATAACATAATATAAATAATAATTAACTCTGCATGGTAGGATAATGGTTGCTTCTTATTTTTATCACTTTTCTTTTCCCCCAATTTTTCTTTAGTCAATCTTTTTTACTTTTATAGGCAAAAAGTGTTTGGGGTTCTTGTTTTCTCTTTTGATTGGACATGTTTTCAGCAGGGAGGACATAGCTCAGTGGACATAGCTGAGCTATGCCTGGAATCAATCCTGGATTGAATCCTTAGTACCTCCATTAATAAACAAACCTAAGGTCCTGGATTCAATCCTTAGTACCTCCATTAAATAAACAAACCTAATTACCTTCCCCCCTAGAAAAAAAGTCTTAAAATTTTTTTTTTAAAAAAAGCAATGTTTTCAAATACACTGTAAAGTAGAAATAATAATCCCCAAACATCTATATTCCCGTTACCAAATTTTCCCATTTTGCCATGTTTGCTTTATCCATTTTTAAGCTACACCCATCATAACATTCCACCCTTTAATTTGGTTTTCATATCTAAAAATAATTACCCTTCTACATAACTACAATGACATCATAATTTCTGATAAATTTAACAATAGTTCCCTAATTTTGTACATAGTTCATACTCTAAGTTGCCTATTTTACCCCAAAATACCTCTAAGACTGGTTTGTTCAAACCAGGATTTAATCAAGAACGAGTCATTATATTTGGTTTTTAAAGAAACCCAACTTAATTGAAACTTCATGGGCAATCAAAATGTTTAACAAAGAAGGTGGCATCTGCACTCTGAGTCCTTAAGGATATGTCAGAATTGACATGGGTGGAGAAGTGAGGTGGTCATTTCAGGAACAGAGATCAAAGTGGGAAAATTTCAAAGAGACAGAAGGTAGCAGATATGCTTGGGGAGCGGCAGGTAGCCCAGTTTATTTTAATCAGAGGAAAAGGAATAATGGCAGATAAAATTGCAAAATAAATTGGAAGGAGATCATGGAGGGCCTTGAAGTTGTTTCTAGTTTGCTCTGTAAACCACTTGAGAATTCTAGTGAGCCCCAGGTGTGAATAACCCATCAGTCTATAATGCTTGTAGGACAGTGGCTGTGTTTTATTCATCTGTATATCCCTGGCACATGGCAGAGCATACTTTGTGGGATGTTCAGAGTGTATTTATTGTTGAAAACATAATTCTATTGAAAGATTTTTGGTTGGAGACTAACATGCTAAGATCTCCTTTGGGAAGATTGAAAAAATTGGTTGGTAATGATGGTGAGTAGAATAAAGATTTAAAGAAGAGAGCTAGCTGGCTGGGTTGGAGGAATTGAAGAAGGCTTTGTAAAGGAGGTAGAACTTGGCTCAATTAGAGGGGGAAACAACATAAGCAGAGATGAAAAGTCGGGAGTGAGTTGAGGATAGTATAATGACTAGTAAGGAGATTGTACTTTAGGGTGCTTTAAGAAATGAGATTCCATAAGATAGGATCAGGAATGGTTTAGGGGGTCTAAAATTAGTCAGATATCTGTTGTTATTCAGTAAATGACCTCTGATCATACTTGAACTCAAGATTTAGGGTTTTAAAGATAGTGTTTACCTATGCTTTCTCATATAAAAAGAACTCTTAGTACAATATGAAAGACAAAATTGGATAAGATTATTTTGAACCTAAGAAGAATTGGTAACGAAAGAATGTCTAAATGAAGGAAACATTAAATTGGATTTATATTGGATTGTGTTCATTTCAAATTTATTATACAATTGAAATATGATACTGAGTACAACTGCATATATGAATTGGGAAATTGAATTAGCAAATTTAGTTAAAACAAGCTTAATAAAGAAAGAAGAACATTTGCCAAGAAACACATAGGAAATTGTATACTCCAATTGAAGCTTGACAGTTTATCTCCCTTTCAGGAAGCTGGACCCTCCTTGAGGGTACATATTCAAGTTAAGTTGCAAGCCAGATACATGGCAGTCCCTTTCACAAAGTGTTCACGGATGCTCTACCAGCGACTTCTACTAGTACTGGCCAGAACTGGGTCACATTGCCACGTTAGCTGCAAAGGGTCTGGGAAAATAGTATTATTAACTAACAGTACTACTTCTCTAAGAGGGGGAAAATGAAGCTCTGTTTTTAAGAAAGGAGAGAAAGGATATGGGAAGAAACTAGAAAAGTATCTGTCACAAAGTTTTTATTGTATGTTAGAGTGTTTATCAGTATATGTCTGTGTAACTGAGCAGGACCCTATTGTCATCAGTAACCGTCTGATATCTGTAGTGGTGTTTGTAACTGCTTAACTGTATAATAGTTTAAAGGGTTTTTCTCATGCTTTTGCTGATCAGAGTTAGGATAGAGAAGAGGAAAGCTTGAGTGGTCTGCCCAACCCCCTAGTGGTGCTGGGTGCAGGAATCATGCTCAGTGCCCTGCTTTTGCCCCCAGTGCCCTCTTCTTGATCCTGACACCTCAGAGACAGCTGTTGGGTGTTTTGTGCATCTTGTTATTCATAACTCACCCCAACTGGGCATGTCTGCTGTTGTTTAGCCCCTTATGGTTTCCTTGT